AGGGCTTTCATACTTCAGATATGTAATGCTTGTGAGAAGCCCTTCCATTGAATATCAAAATATTTAACCTTTTGACCCTGATCTTGGAGTTTGGTCTACTTTTCAAAAACAAACCTTGACCATAACTTTTGAAGGGTTATGGCTAGGGCTTGCATGCTTCACATATTTCTTTCATTGGATACCAAGAACTTTGTAGTATGACCTTCTTTTTAAAAACTTTAACATTGGCCATTACTTTTGAACAGTTAGGGCTATGGCTTTCATACTTCACATATATAATCCTTGTGACAAGCCCTTTTTTTAAGAAACAAATTGCAACAACTTTGCCCCTTTGACCTTGATCTTGGAGTTTGGCCTACCTTTCAAAAAAACATCCTTGGCCATACCTTTTGAACAGGTGCTGCTATGGCTTTCATATTTCATAATTGTATTTCTTGAGAGAAGAGCTTACTTTGGGCACAAACAATTTGCATTTAGGAAAAGTTGAATCTTCGCTATGTTGCCATAAGGGGGCATCAGTGTTTCACAAACACATCTTGTTTTAAAATCTCAATCCGTGTGAGACATCCATGTCAATTAACTTTTGGTTAAAAAATAAATGTCATGATGGCAAAAAATGGAATTGCATTATTTATAATAAGTGCAATGTATAGAGTTATACAGACGTCCCTAGATAAATATGTAATAGATTAATTCAAACAGAAGGAAAATAAACTGATTGTTCTTCACTTTGATATTGGTTAATAGCATAGAATTTTTTTTATGTTTGTGGCATTGTAAAATTCGGTCAGTCAGATTGAGTGCTTTACTTTCAGGGTCAGTCTCAGGAAAGATTTTATCGGTAAATGTATCTGGATGCGACAACGAACCTTGCATATTTTATTCAGAGACCAATGAAACGCTTAGTGCCTCGTTCATCTCCAGTGAGTATTGTGAAACATTTTATTCTTCCATTTTTTTAATCAGGTATGCTTTTTAAAACATACATTAAATAATTTTATTTATAGGTGAAATACAATTGACAGAAAAAAATTACTATGGAACATTTTAACTTACAGGTGATTTAAACAGTCCAATTTTTAATAGTAATTCTGTATAAGAGATAATCAATAAAAGAACAAATAGGGCGTTGCAATTTAAAATCTTATTCTCAAGAACCACTGAGCCAGAAAAGCTGAAACTTATGAGAAAGCAACCTTGGGTAGGGAAGATTTTTAAATTGTTTCTAATCATGACCCCACGGCGTAGGACGGGCCACAATAGGGAATCCATTACATTGAAATATATAGGGAAAATCTTTAAAAAGCTCAGAAACAACTGGTTCGGAAAAAACTGAAACTTAAGAGGATGCATCCTGGGGTAGTGCAGATTCTTAATTATTCAGATCATGTCAGGGAATCCAAACTTTGAATTGAAATATATAAGAAAAATCTTTGAAATTTTTCTCAAGAACCATCGTTCCAGAAAAGCTGAATCTTATTTGGAAGCATCATGGGGTAGTGAAGATAATAAACTATTAAATCATGATCCCCAAAGGAAGGATGAGACCACCATGGGGAATCAAAGTATTACATTGAAATATATAGGAAAAATCTTTAAATACTTTCTTCTCAAGAACCACTGGGCCAGAAAAGCTGAAATTTATGAGAAAGCATTCGGAGATAGAGTAGGTTCTACATTGTTCAAATGATGACCCCCGGGAGAGGACTGGGCCACGATAGGGGATCAAAGTATACCGAAATATATTGAAAAAATCCTTAAAATCTTATTCTCAAGAACCATTGGGCCAGAAAAGCTGAAACCTATCTGAAAGCATACATGGGTAGAGTAGATTCTAAATTACTCAAGTCATAACCCCCGGGAGTACACCGGGGCCACAATAGGTATAAAAAGTTACTCAGGTGAGCTAAGTGTCCCATGGACCTCTTGTTTTTACAGAACTCTTAATAAAGAAGAGTGTTACAGAAAGCAAGAGCATGAATGAGAAGTTAGAAAATTTGAAAGTCACTATATCAGACTTGCCAAATCGGACTGTTTTCTTGGTTATACGCGGCTTAACAAAGTTGCGTTTGAGCTGAGCTTTTGCGTATTATGTAGATATGGATGTGTTAGCATTGAAGCGATGGAAATAACATTTATAGATGTGATGATTACAAACAATAAGCGCAGGCAGTGGTTATAGCGTCTGTTTCTAGAGTCGAGGAGTAATTAAGGAGCTGGGGCCTTTTTTTTTTTTTTACAAAAGACGAGAAAACAAACAAACAGTAAAAACAGTTTTAACATCTAACGAATGGTATAAACAGTACAAATCGAAAAAAAATGGTGAAGGACGAACCCCTGCACACAAAGAAGTGGGATCGCTTGAAAAAAGTCTCTTTTGTGTACAAGTAACACCCGCTGTGAGCCCTCTATGTTGAACAGATAAACATAGTTATCCAAAGTTAAATAAAAATGAAAATGATGGTTTAAAAATTTGTATGACACTTGTAAATCCAGCTTTCTACTGACATCTTCAGTTAGAAAGTTGTTAGGTGGTATTTGATACAATCTACTGTCATGGCTATTTTGTCGTTTATAGAATTTTTCTTATAGATGTGGAATCAACAAAACCAACAACTCATGTAACAGGAATCATAGGTGGCGTTCCGATTTCATTTCCGGCAGAGAAAAACACGTGTGTTTCACAGACAAAATGCCCTCTAGAGCCAGGGAAGCAAAACACGTTTGCCATTACAGTGCCTGTTTTAAAACAGTATCCTCACGTAAGATTATTTTTAAGATCGGGAGTTTAAAGAAAAATACAAAAATAATATTTAAACGTTGAAATCATTAAAAACATTACTCAAGGCGGAAAAAATACACAAATTATATTACAGCATTACGGAATTGTATTAGTATCAACCAATGACTTAAAAATATTGTGTGTTTTAAGAAACATTTTTTTATGTAATAAAGAATAAGACTGGGAGACCTCCCAAAATTTAAAATGATGTTCAATTCTTTCTAAAAAAAATATAACAAATCTAAAACTGTTGCACAAAGTGCTCCTTCAGCTCTATCATATTTGGAAAATATCACATTTGCTACTCACACAATGTGTGAAGGTGTATTTTTGTAAAACATTTTACATCTCAATTAGACGTTTGTTGAAATCTCCTGAAACATCATCTTATTCATTGTGAAAAATGAAAAAAAAAATGACAAAGAGCTGAATATTATTCCCAACAGCCAAAACTAATAATTTACCTCTATTATTAGTATATGAACGAAGACACCCAAAAATGATTTCATATTATACAGTGACTTTATAGGCAGATATACATGTAATCTATTATTAGGTAATATGCTAACTGACCCTTCTTATAATTAGTGTAGGTCATTATTGACACACTGACATTTCTACACATTTTCCGTTTCTGATCATGAAAAGTAGCACACGGCTCTTATAATCGCTCGAAAGCGATGCTTACTGCACAATTGCACTTGCTCCCGACTCTGATGATTTAGGAAGTCCATGTTTAGTGTGCTACGCATTGTATTGTTTAAATGGACTTTGAGTTTGAATTCTGTTCTTTTTTCACATTTCATTTATCTTCTTGTTTTGCAGATAAGTCTTTTGGTCAAAACTGAAGTTCAGGACGATACCGGAAAAGATATATTCTGTTTTGTTTTTCCTGCAGAAATAAAACCTAAACCATATTTTTTTAAATCATTTTTTATCATTTCTGTCACGATAAACGAAGAACGGTCACATATTGCTCAATAACATTGTCAGCGGATGATTTCGCAAATAACTGGCCCAGGGCAATCTTGGTAAATCTTTCCCCAAGAATAAGAATTATTTGGTTGTACATTTTGGTCTGCAGCTCTTTCCATAAAGTTTAATTTATTAGAAACAGTATATCACATCCTAAATCGTCATTAGAATTATATTACCATAGAGTTACACAAAATACTTAGCATTCTGCAACTCGAGCATTTCTTTGAAACATAAAAATGTCTATGCATCATGACTTTTACATTCTTCGAAGGTGTCAGCAGGTGAAAAATCGGTCGACAACCCTTTGGAAACACGATGCCCACAAAAGCATGAAAGAAAAGCTTCATAAAGATCCAAATTCTTATTTCCGTCTGCGTAATTTACCAAAGAGACATAAATGGCATTTGTTCATGGCCATTAAAAAGTCAGTACAATAAGAATGTTTGATTTCTAAATCCATATGGGTAAAAATTTTTAAAGAAAGATAATATAATCAAAGTTCTTTTGGAATTCAATCTTAAATTCAGTTAATTTATTCTTTTTTCCGATTAAAAAAACACACTTTGATTTACACAATCTTATGAATTGACACGAAAGCAATCAGATACCAGGTAAAATTATGGAACGCCACCACTGCCTTATAGCATAAAACTATGCATTCATTATGTCAATCTATCATAACGTGATGTGAACATATCTTTACGTTATGTCAATTTTTTATGGGGTGATGTAAAAATATCTTTACATCATGTCAATGCTGCATTACATGAAGTAAACACATTCTTCCATTATGTCAGCACTTTATAACTTGAAGTCGGAAGTTCATTATGTGAAGTGAAAATATGTTTACATTGTGTTAAAACTTAATTACGTGAAATGAATGTTTCTTTATATTATTTCATTTCTTTAATATGTGAGGTCAAAATTGCATCACGTTAAGTAAATTGTGTTTTATAATTAAGCTTATCATTACATGAAGTCAAAAGTCCATTCCTTTTTGAGAGTGTATATGTCTATTATGTCAAAGCATTATTACGTGATATGGATTTATCTTTATATTACGGCGAGAGCATCATGATGTGAGGTGAACACATCTTACCTTTATGTCAGTGCTTTATTACGTGGTATAAAAAGTGTATAACATAATGTAAATATATCTTTATATTATATCAACACTTTATTACATTATGTCAAAACTCCATTCCGTGATGTGGATATATAATTACGTTATGTCAACTCTTATGTGATTTAAAAAATATCTTTATATTGTGTTAACTCTTTATCATGTTGATTCCAAAAGTTCATTACCTGATGTGAAAATACATTTACATTATCTGAAAGCTGTATATCTAGTATAATAATGAATGTTGACGACTGTATTTTAATGACTGGTAAGGGGGGGGGGGGCGATTGAGTAGGACGAATAATTATAGACACATAATATCAGCCCCCCCTCTTTTCCCAGACATAACCTTATTTTAGAAAATCTAATGTTCATTGAAAGTACAGCCCCCACCCCCACTTATTGTTGAAGTATAGTCCACTAGGGGTAATGTAGTATAACTGAAAAAAATATATGACTAATCAAAGTCGGACCCCCCTCTCCGAAATAGGATTTTCGGGCTTGGACAAATTTTTTTGGCTTGTCAAGTTTTTTCGGGTAAATAATTTTTTTTTCTGGCTGACATCCTCTTTCAAATAAATGCTATGTCACGGAATTAGTTACTGTAATTTTTTCAACCATTCCAAGACCAGAATTCTGTTATAAAAATCTACCAGTCCCTCATCTAAATCAGTTGAATATGCCTTAATAAGCATGCATGGGCACATATTTGTGGCGCATATGGGTATCTTGAAAAAAAGAAAGGGGACGGTATAGAGTTGGTGACCAAAGGGGGAAAGCAGAAAAACTCTCCGGCAGGCTTTATAGTTTAATAGAAAAAAAATTTTCAATATAATTCAGCTAAACTTAATGTGAAAGTAATGCAATGTCCTACAATGTAAAACTAATAAATTTATTAATTTTATGTATATTTTGGTGACTAAAGATGGTAGGGCGGGATTTCTGACCCCCCCCCCCCCCTTCCCCAAGCCGCCAGTGCACGTGTGTTATTCGATCGATGTGTTTACACTTTAAAAAAGGAGAGTTAAAGACTGATAAAAAAAACTTATGACAGTGTTCTGAGTAAGAACAGAAGTTTAAGATTTTTATTAAAAAAAAAAAAGCAATTCAAAAGAAAAAAAATGCTGCACGACTCATATTTGATTTATTTAATTATCAGATAAAAGTAAACGCCATTGAATTTCGACGCGTGACTTTAATTCACAGTCGCAGTGTTAAGGCTTTGCACATTTCAAGATTGTTAATCATTTTTCGCTTAAAGTTTTTATATCATTTAATCGCTGAGAATTTATTTTATGACAGTTTTCTCTCCCGCCATTTTTAGTGCTTTCGGAATGCGGAAAATACGTTATGCTCATATAAAGGCCGAGGATACCCGTGTTCGCATAACGTAATAGTTAATCGACATAATGTAGAAGAGTGCGCACAGTATGACATGAGCTTTTCACATCTGATATGAGATGAAATAGCCTAAGATACATGAATGCTGACAAGAGGCTTAGCATTTTTGACACACTGTAAAGACACAATGACATAATGTAATAACGATTTGTCAAAAAGTAAGGGCAAATTCACATCATGAAATTGATTCACGTCGTCATGTAGCATATTGAGGGCATAAAGTAGTAAAAGAATTGACCACATGTGACAATTTTTTCAGATCATGTAATGAAATTCTGACATCGTATTATAGCGACTTCATATTGAGTTAAAGATAAATTCACATCATGTAATGAACTACTTAGACCAAATAGTAGAGAGTGCACATAATGTAATAATGAGTTGAAAATATATATAAAAACATTTTTACACCACGTAAAATTGTTTTGACTTGATGTCATAAAGAGCTGATATAATGCAGTGGACGATTGGCGCAATGTAATTAAAGTGCGAGTTAATGCCATAAAGACTAAACATAATGTAATTGAAAGTTGACATAACGCAATAGTAGTGTGTGTAATTGTCATAAAGAGTTGACTTAATGTAATGAAAGGTTGGCACAATGCAATAGTAGTGTGGACTAATGTCATAAAGAGTTGACATAATATAATGGAAGGTTGACATAATGCAATAGTATATGTGGGTTAATGTCATAAAGTTTACATCATGTAATGGAAGATTGACATAATGCAATAGCATTGTGGGTTAATGTCATAAAGAGTTGACATAATGTAATGGAAGGTTGACATAATGCAATAGCATTGTGGGTTAATGTCATAAAGAGTTGACATAATGTAATGGAAGGTTGACATAATGCAATAGCATTGTGGGTTAATGTCATAAAGAGTTGACATAATGTAATGTAAGGTTGACACAATGCAATAGTAGTGTGAGTAAATGTCATAAAGTGTTGACATAATGTAATGGAAGGTTGACGCAATGCAACTGTTGTGTTCTGTTATAAGGCAGTGATGGCGTTCCATATAAAATCATCAAATCAGTGTTACTCACTTAAATAGTGCTAAATTTGCAAGATCAATTAAAAACGAAATATTTCAGAGCCATTCTCTTTAATGACATAATTCATATAGAAGCTGCGACACGCATAGTAGCAGAATATCTTCAAAATTACTATGGTAAACATTTATGATAAAATGACTCAGAAAACAAAGATGCTTAATGACATATATGTCAAAATGGAAAGATAATGAACGGTTGTCGACATAAAAGAAAAACAGGCAACCAATACATTTAATCTGTGAACAATGCATAAACAAAGACTCCCGGAAAGGAATAAGGTGCCTAGGAGGGTTAACCATCTCCTGCCCGGAAGATCTGGAAGTATTAACGTTGCTGCAATGCAAAAGAGTGACAATCACATTGAAATAATAACAACCTCATGTTTTAAGTCTATGATAACAATATTGGGAAATTACATATATTATTTGAAATCATAAGAATAAAGTATTCAAACTGAATAAATTTATTAATTTATTTCGAATAAACTTACATTTATAATTCTTTTAAATAGTATGTCAGTTTCAAGTTATATTATTATTCTCAGCAAACAAATTAAATTCAAATAACCATAACTATACTGAATCCAAAAACTACAGAAAAAATATCCTAACGAAGATAAATAGCTAGTTAAATAAATGGTCTACCAAACATCTCTCTTTACTCCTAACCGAAATATTAACAGCTGTGGAGAACAGACCTCATGGGTAATAAAAATTCCAAAATGAACTTTAAGAACATTTAAAATTGCAAAATTTAAACAAATCAGTTAAATCAAGACATACGACATTTCAACACTTTATATAACTACAGGTTCCATGTTCCATAGGAACAAGGTAATAAATTACAACAATAATAATACAATATTATGATATTGTTAAGATCTTTGTACACGAAATGTCTATTTTGGTGTTGATGATTAAGTACTTTTGAGTTTGACTCAAATACATAGAGGACAACCTATAAAGAAATCGATTAAGGAATTAAAAAGTACAATCAAATCCGCTATTTCACATTTGAAATTGTTTTATGAAAAGATAACGTGTAGGTCGTAAATGACATTGAAGGCATTATCAGAAATGCATTTCAGAATTTGAAGCACGTTTATCTTTACCAGTGTGCTCTGGAGACCGGGGTAATTGTTCCTGGTCTCCTTCATGACTGTGGGGAAAAAATAGACACTCAGGTATAAGGAAACTACTTTTCTTTGAATAGCAAGCATAGCGATATTTCTTGTTAGACCTTTTGTTGGGCAGTGTCTATATGACAAGGTTTTCTCTTCTCTACAGGTTGCTTTTTATCGTCAATTGTTTTGTTTAAACTTTTATGATCTCTCGAAGTCGAATGTTGACTTTACCTTTTTCATAAACGTTGTTGATGCTTTTTTAAAAACTAAATTTGCTTCTAATTTTTCTGATTGCCCGGT